ACCATCCCCCCAGATCTCTCGGCTGGACCATTCATTTCTGGTAAGCCAGGTGGTGAATGCTCAATGGTGCATCCCTCTGCCTCTATCATTGATTCAACCTCATTGCCAGCGCTCCGCTCGTTGTCATAGTGGACCACTCTGATTTCTAGTTTCAACCAGTTCTTGACTAGTGCTAGGAACTTCCTAACAGCTGTCTGGCAGTCATTTTTCTTGGTATGGGTGAATGCAAAGTGGCATTTAATACCATCTAGGTAGAAGTGAGTTAACCAGATATGTCCATTGTAGGCCGGCTGATTCTGTACTAGGTCGAAATGGACCCTTCCAAATACACCATATGCTTGGCCTATCTTCCGGCGAGAGATCTGTCTCGGTGCATCTGCCAATTGACAAGCTTCACATACCTGCTTTTCGTTGCCAGGGTTGCTTCCAATGGTAATGCCTTCCGTCATCTCTGCTAGCTTCTCAATACGCTGCTGGCCGACATGGCCTAGGCGTCTATGCCAGGTTTGAATCGATGCTTCTGCTCTTGGTTCTTGAGCTGACTTCTTGGTTGCGAACACTAAGTCCTTAGGTTCGAGTTTAGGATACTGAAGATCCTTCGGCAGGGTCAACCAGGACAGCTTCATGTCCTGATAGACTTTGAAAATCGGTTGTCTATCTTTGGACTCAATGCAGTCCCTTCTGAAGTTCATCATGAGACCTCCTTTTATCATCAACCCATGGGATATCAGATTAGTATGGAAATTAGGAGAGTATCTGACGTTGTATAACTCCATCCTTACTGCCTTTCCACTACTAGGACTGACACCATAGATGACTACAGTGCCTACCCCGTCGATTTTCGTCTCTGTATCTCCCACCTGTACGCTGCTCTGTACGTCCTCGAAAGTCACGAACAACTCTCGATCGTTGCATACATGCATTTGTGCTCCAGTGTCGACTACCCAGCGCTTTCGTACGGGCTGTATATTGTCGATTTGGGTGGACATAACGGTGGTGGAGACGTCAATGTGCTTGCTAGCCGGCGGCATGGCTGCCTGTGCCGTACTAGGTGCTGTCTTGCTAGCTGCTGTCTTGCTAGCTGCTGGACTAGCTGCTGCTGGACTAGCTGCTGCTGGACTAGCTGTTGGTGGACTAGCTTGGGGTATAGGTTCAGAGGAGAAGAAGCCATAACCTTGGTTTTCAAAAGCGGCATTTGCTTGCTCTTGTGCTTTTAGCTTTTGACGTTTCTTGTCAACCCAGGCTTTCCAGGCGGGGTCAGCTTTCATTGCTTTCTCCCATTTGTCCTTGGCACCTTGGTTTCTTGTATATGAAGGCGGCTTGTTCTCATCGAATACGTCCCAACATTTCCAAGCTGGATGCCGGCCATTGCTCTGGCCACATGGACAGGGTCTATTAAAGAGCTGGGTTTCAGGCTTAGCTTCTTCATGACCTTGCCATGTCGAAAATGCAGCTCTGGAAATGCCTCTCTGGTTAGTGGCTGGCTTGCCGTGGGTAATTCTCCAGTGAGCTCTGTATCGGTTGAGAAGCTCGGTGAACGTGAACGTTATGTCATCTGCTTTATCTTATAGTCTTAGGGTCCATATTTCATGAAACCCAGGGGACATTACTGAGATAGCATCTAGGAACTGAGTTGGAGCATCATCTGCTTCCGGCATTTTCGCTCTCTTGCACCTTGCCTGTACGGTCTCCCAGTTCAATAACCACTTGTCGATGTCGGTATTCCGATCCAATCCTCGATCTAGGGTACGCCAAAGCTGACGAAGCCTAGCTGCATTTGTTGGATCATACTCGGCGGCGAACCGTTGTCGGAGGTTACGGAGGAGGTCATACGGGGTCTTGAAATCGATGATGAACGGTTAGTAGTTGGCGTGGACGCTATTCCGAATAGCTGTCACCACTACGTTCAGTCCTTTCTTCTGCTGGGTATAGGCCACGTTGTCATTGGCCCATTCCATCTGCAGCATCTTGTATGTGTCGACCCAATGGTCTTTATACTGTGTTTGTGCTTCTGCAATTGAGATGACTTTCTTAGGTGCCACTGGCAGCTCTGGTCTCTCATCATTGCTAGGATCACATAGCTCCCATACGTCGAATTGCACTGCAATCGATTCAATGTTGGCTAGCCATGCATCCCATGTCGTTGTATCCTTTAGTATAACGCGAGAGGATGCACCCGCGGAGAGGTATTCAGCCATGTTCGTTGTCCTTTATGGACAGGCTTCCGATTCTTGATTCAGGGGTTGGTTCAGGGGTTGGCTTCGGCGACGGGGGTGACGATGTAGTGTCACTTTGACCTCAATTCGACGATAGCTGGGTTCAATAGAACGATTCCGGGCTCATAACTGTGGGAAAAATACAGCCTATTTTACCACTAGACCATAACAAAAACCTCGGTTCCTGTTTAGGGCCTAGGGGGGCCATATCCCAGTCTGACACACCCCCCAGGGGATGGCGACTTTGTCGGGATTCCCTGTCATATGTCTTTTTATATACTATCTTTCGTCACAACTTGGTTTCTGCCGTGCGTCACACTTCCTTTTTCAGATTCAGACCTAGGGGAGCTCTTTCGTCTTCGCCCATCTTCGTCATTCAATTCAAGGGTAAGGCAACCTATTTCATTTGTGCGCACTCCTGGTCTCGAACCGACGACTAGTACTCCCTCAAGGGTATTAAGAACGATTCCGGGCTCATAACTGACGGAAAGCTGGTGTACGAACAATGTATGGTATAAATGACCAATGTTGACAACTCTAACTAAAATGACAAAACCCGCTATTTCAACAATCTGTGCGGACCATGATGACTAACTGTAGTATGCACTTTTGTATGGTATGCCTGGTACCCAATGTCACATGATGTTTCCGGTATATTACCTGGTTTCTACCATGTATTCGGACTTGGTATTCGACATTGACCTCTCCGGAGGGGGATCGCCCGTGTTTCCCTATCCTTCCGAGAAGGGTTCCCCACGAGAACAGGACCCCGCTCCACGTGTCACATTTCCTCCCGCTATCAATATGGGGAGACTGTATATAAATCGGACCATATGGAGGAAGCCTAACGGCTCTTCAAGAAACAGTCTTTGACTTTTGGAACCACCTATCTTGTTACCTTCTCCTACCTGATTGACAGGCACCTACCCTGACTTGTAGAGTATCTCTTAACAATGACTCACTATCATCTGCCATATATAGTGAGATCATATTATGATATTTGCCATATATAGTGAAGTCATATTATAACATTATGAGATATTACATTATCTCATAATTGCCTCCTAACTAGCTATATAAGGAATCGAAATTCCTTGCTTAGCTGGTATGTTATGTTAAGAAAAGAACAACAACAATCAACTTGACTTCTACCTCTTATATTATTTCCTATCCTAGCTAAGTAACGTATTCGGTAAGCGAGCGGCGCACGCAAGCGAGTGGCGCACCCCAGAACACATAGTAAAAGCGATAAATTACAACATGATATTTCAACAACGGTTGTTTATATGAGCTTTTCTTTGTAGCCTCATGCTTTTTATATGATGTCTAGCCACTTGTTAGAGTTTAGGTGAACTTGATAAATTAGTGACTGAGAGATACATATTTCTCGAGTTTAGAGATGTATTTTTCAATACCATAACAATGCAAGTTCTCAATTTATTCAAAATTGATATATGATGCTAAAAATACTTATCAATTGCTATCGACAAGTAATGAAATTAAATAAAAGTGTTGGTTGTTGAAATATCATGTTGTAATTTATCGCTTTTACTATGTGTTCTGGGGTGCGCCACTCGCTTGCGTGCGCCGCTCGCTTACCGGATACGTTATAACCCTTTATAGCTTATATAATATAATTATATAACTAAGCTATAAAGATTATCTAATACCACTTCCCTACTAAAATATTATAACCTACTTATAGGCTATAATATTATATTGTTACGGACCTATCCGTCACCAATCAGTGGTGACCCACCAGGCACACCAATGGGCCATCGAGAGCCAACCAGCAAACCCGTTAACAGATCACGTGCCGCTCACTGAGCAAGAGCATGATCCGCCCTGAGCCGGACTAAAGTTTGGTGTGTATGGTGTCGGCGCAGTTACGCCGGTATACCGGAGGATTTATTAATCCTACAAATGCTGTAATATTTCTTATGTAAACGGCAGACCTGTGAATTACTGCGGTTAGTTTTGCCTATTTAGGTTTGGCGTCCCACTACGCTGTCACGTAACTTACCTTCAGCCCCGGGGCCATTCAGCCAGGGGTGGTATACGCCGTACTAGATGAATAGTTTGTAATTCATGGAGTTTTAACTATAACTAACGTATTTCACTACCGAGTGGCCCACACCACCGAGTGGCCCACCCCAAAACACCATAGTAAATGCGATAAATTACAACTTGATATCTCAACAACGATAGTCTATATAGAGCTTTCCTTATAGCTAAATACCTTTTTAGGTGATATCTAGCTTCTCTAGGGAGTTTAGAAAATATTTTTGACTTTATGATTGCGCTATATTTGATTCTAGCTTTTAGTAACGTAATTTTTGATACCGTGATAATATAGTTGTTCGATTCTCTTAAAATTAATATATGGTGTTTGAAATCCTTATCAATAGCTATCGAGTGATAATGGAATCAAATAATAACGTGGTTGTTGCTATATAAGGTTGTAAAATATCGCATTTACTATGGTGTTTTGGGGTGGGCCACTCGGTGGTGTGGGCCACTCGGTGGTGAAATACGTTAGTTAGTTAACTAACCAGCAGAAATTTACTTAATATAGGGAGTGTTGAAACTTTTGCGTAGTGACTGTACGTACTCAATATTAGTATTCGACAATATGAACTCTCTGATTGGCAGGGGATAACGCTAGTCCAGGGCTGTGCAGCAACTGACAACGTTGCGCCCGTTGACTAGTGATGAGCAATTTTCTGCAGTTGCGTGCCCTTCGTCTCTCCCCACCCGACAGCTTCGTATGTTTACCTCTGCGCTATGACATCCCTCAACGCCCTCGACAGCCCCGACTCGTATACGATCGCCTGGATCGCTGCTCTCTCCATCGAACGGGCCGCTGCAGAAGCGATGCTCGATGAAAGACATGCAGTTCCAACCGGCTTCATTAGACACCAAACTGATGCAAACGTTTATACATGGGGTCGTGTGGGAGAGCACAATATCGTTATTGCCGCTCTGGCCTCCGGAGACTACGGCACCACTTCTGCTGCGACCACGGCCTCGAGCCTTCTTGCCTCTCTGCCATCTATCCGTGTTGGCCTCTTGGTCGGCATAGGCGGTGGCATCGCTCGACCTGACGAGGGCCACGATATCCGGCTGGGTGATGTTGTCGTGAGCCAGCCCTCTGGGACCATAGGCGGCGTCTGCCAGTACGACCTGATCAAGGCCAAGTCTGGCGACAAGCGTGAGCGCAAAGGCTTCCTTGGACGGCCACCAACGGTCCTCCTTAATGCGCTCACTAGTATTCAGGCCTATCATGAGCAGAAAGACTCCGACGTTCCCTGCTTCCTCCGAATGATGCTGGAGAAGAACCCGAAGATGGGTAAGAGATCTAAGCAGAACCCTGGCTACACTTACCAGGGCTTTGACAACGACCGCCTCTTCAAAGCTTCATGCAATCATATTCCCGGCCTGGACTGTCAGGGATGTGACACGGCTGATGAGATTCAACGCGATTCTCGAGACACTACCGACCCCGATATCCACTACGGAACCATTGCATCCGGTAACACACTTGTCAAAGACGCCGCTACACGCGATCGCATTGCTACGGACCTCGGTAAGGATTGCATCTGCTTTGAGATGGAAGCGGCCGGCCTGATGAATCACTTTCCCTGTCTTGTGATCCGAGGTATTTGTGACTACGCCGATTCTCATAAGAATGATCGATGGCAACGCTATGCCTCGGCAACTGCTGCTGCATATGCTAAGGAGCTTTTGGCGTATGTGCCAGTATTGGAGGTCCAAGAGACCAAGAGGGCACTAGAAATACTCCAGTTAGGTTAGTTCTTGTTTTGTTCCCTGGCTAGACTAGCAGATACACGAGACTGAATCAAGTCTGAAATTGGAATATATACTGACTGCGAGTAGTTCAACAACAAATTGACAGCGTGCAGCAGACGACAGTCGCCACCAAGGCTGTCACTGATTCCGTAAGGTCTGACCTTCAGACCGATAAGATCAGGCGCTGGCTTTGTCCCCCGGATTCGTCTACAAACGCCAACCACGCCAGGACTCTCCGCCATGAGGGGACAGGCGCGTGGCTCCTCGACAACCCCGTCTTCCAGTCATGGCACTCGGGGTCGCGTCAACATTTATGGCTGCACGGGCTAGCGGGATGCGGAAAGACGGTCCTTAGTGCGACTGTGCTTGATTATCTCGCGAAGGATAACGATAAACTTATCCTCAACTTCTTTTTTGACTTTAGCGATGCCACAAAGCAGACCTTGGATGGTATGCTGCGATCACTTGCTTTCCAACTTTACCAAAGCGGGTTTGATTCTGCAATTCATCTTGATGCCTTATCTCAAGCGCACCAGAATGGTAGCGTCCGACCTACGACAAAGGCGCTCTCGGATATTGTTTTTATGATGCTCGTAGTCCAGAAGAAGGTCACGATCGTTCTAGACGCATTGGATGAGTCGAAAACAAGGGATCATGTTCTCCAATGGATCAAGGACATAGTGTCTAGGCCAGATTTGGTCCATTTACAGCTGTTTTATACTAGTCGACCTGAATCCGAGCTTCTGCGCCACATTCCCCCTTTAATAGGAAAGCGAAACTGCCTACTACTTGACAAGCAGGCTGTTAACTCCGATATTCGATCATGGGTCACAGCGCAACTTTCCCAACGGCGTGATTTTACAGAGAAGCCCTTGTCCCAGGGTCTACTCGAGGGGATCCGGAGGAAAGTTGGCGACGGGGCCGACGGGATGTAAGATATTACTTCCTCGATCGAGATACTGATAGTTTGCTAATACCCTACTTAGGTTTAGGTGGGCGTTCTGTCAATTGGACAGCCTAGCTCGATGTCCTCACGAGGCAGCTATGGTCGAGGTTCTCGCATCTTTGCCGCTGAATCTAAACGAGACATACCGCCGTTTGATTGCAAGCATACCGACGAGGCTAAAAAACGACGCGATACGCCTCTTGCAATTCTTAGTATACTCTTATCGACCTCTTAGCCTGGCTGAGGCTCAAGAAGTAATAGCGACGCAGATTGAAAACGAGTCGCGAGGGTTTGACATTAAGCGTCGACTATTTTGCGAGACTGATATTTTGGATTACTGTCCCGGCTTATTGACAGTCGTTCACGCCACCGATAAAGAGCTACATCTTGCCCACTTTTCCGTCAAAGAGTACCTTCTCGAAGAGAATGATTTCGAGATTACGACTGCTAGTATTTCTATCACGAGGACGTGCTTGAGTTATCTTACGGGCATCAACGGTAGCCACAGACAGATCAAGCGGGATTTTCCGATGGCAAGATATGCAGCAGAACTCTGGGCAGGCCATGCTGCGTTGGCTCAGGCTTCCGAAGATATAATTCGCTTAACAGTCAGCTTCCTAGAAAGGAAAGTGACATTCCAACGATGGACTCGTTTGTATCAGGCTGATAGGGGTTGGGACGATAATCCAGGCCCTCCACGAAGTTCCAGGCTCTACTATGCTTGTTTTCTTGGGCTTGTAGCACCTGCGCGAGATCTTATTAGCAAGGGAGAGGACGTCAACGCGCAGGGCGGTCAATACGGCAACGCTCTCCAGGCCGCCTCGTTTAGAGGCTTTCAAGGAATTGTCAAACTTCTTTTAGATAAGGGAGCAGAAATCAACGCGCAGGGCGGCGAATACAGCAACGCTCTACGGGCCGCCTCGTTTAGCGGCTTTCAAGGAATTGTCAAACTTCTTTTAGATAAGGGAGCAGACATCAACGCGCAGGGCGGCGAATACGGCAACGCTCTCCAAGCCGCCTCATTAGGAGGTCATCAAGAGATTGTCAAACAACTCTTAGACAAGGGAGCGGACATCAACGCACAGAGCGGCCGCTACGACATCGCGTTAAGCGGCCGCTACGGCAACGCTCTCCAGGCTGCCTCAGAGGAAGGCCATCTAGAGACTGTCAAACTTCTTTTAGATAAGGGAGCAGACGTCAACGCGCAGGGCGGCTTATACAATAACGCTCTCCAGGCCGCCTCGTCAGGTGGCCATCAAGAGATTATCAAACTACTCTTAGACAATGGAGCGGATATCAATACACAGCGCAGTCTCCAGGCCGCCTCAGAGGGCGGCTTTCAAGAGATTACCAAACTACTCTTAGAGAAGAAAGACGACATCAATACGCAGCGCAGAGTCCAGGCCGCCTCGGATAACGGCTTTCAAGATATTTTCAAACTACTCTTAGATAAGGGAGGGGACATCAAGACGTACGGCGATTTCCCGGCCGCCTTAGAGGGCAGCTATCAAGAGATTACCAAACTACTTTTAGGCGAGGGAGAGGACGTCAACGCGCAAGGCGGCCAATACAGCAACGCTCCCCAAGACGCCTCAGAGGGAGGCCATCAAGATATTGTCAAACTTCTCTTAGACAAGGGAGAGGACGTCAACGCGCAGGGCGGCCAATACAGCAACGCTCTCCAAGACGCCTCAGAGGGAGGCCATCAAGAGACTGTCAAACTTCTCTTAGACAAGGGAGAGGACGTCAACGCGCAAGGCGGTCAATATGGCAACGCTCTCCAGGCCGCCTCGTTTAGAGGCTTTCAAGGAATTGTCAAACTTCTTTTAGATAAGGGAGCAGACATCAACGCGCAGGGCGGCGAATACGGCAACGCTCTCCAAGCCGCCTCAGAGAGAGGCCATCAAAAGATTGTCAAACTACTCTTAGATAAGGGAGCAGATATCAACGCACAGGGTGGCCAATACGGCAACGCTCTCCAGGCCTCCTTAGAGGGAGGCTATCAAGGGATTTTCAAACTACTCTCAGGTATAGGAGTAAGCGCCAGCACACTAGGTAGTAACGCTGTCCAGGCTACCCCAGAGGCAGGCCGTCAAGAGATTATCAAACTTCTCTTAGACAAGGGAGCAGACGTCAACGCACAGGGTGGCCAATACGGCAACCCTCTCCAAGCCGCCTCTCGGAGAGGCTATCTTAAGATTGTCAAACTACTCTTAGATAAGGGAGCAAACGTCAACACGCAGGGCGGCTTCTATAGCAACCCTCTTCAAGCCGCCTCAGAGGCAGGCTATCTCGAGATTGTTAAACTACTCCTAGACAAGGGAGCGGACATCAACGTACAGGGCGGCGAATTTGACAACCCTCTCCTAGCCGCCTCTATAAAAGGCCATCAAGATATTGTCAAACTACTATTAGGCGAGGGAGCGGACGTTAACGCAGAAGGTAGCCACTACGGCACCGCTCTTAAGGCTGCCTCGTTTGGAGGCTTTCAAGGAATTGTCAAACTACTCTTAGACAATGGAGCAGATGCCAACGTGCAGGGCGGCCAATACGGCAACGCTCTCCAGGCTGCCTCGTTTGGAGGCTTTCAAGGAATTGTCAAACTACTCTTAGACAATGGAGCAGATGCCAACGCGCAGGGCGGCCAATACGGCAACGCTCTCCAAGCCGCCTCAGAGAGAGGCCATCAAGAGATTGTCAAACTACTCTTAGACAATGGAGCAGATGCCAACGCGCAGGGCGGCCAATACGGCAACGCTCTCCAAGCCGCCTCAGAGAGAGGCCATCAAGAGATTGTCAAACTACTCTTAGACAATGGAGCAGATGCCAACGTGCAGGGCGGCCAATACGGCAACGCTCTCCAGGTCGCCTCATTAAGAGGCCATCAAGAGATTGTCAAACTGCTTCAAAGAAAAGGCGCTGTTACATTGTCTGGTCAAACTGTAGCTCACTGACTCAAGCCTTTGTCATCATACCTTGAAGAAAGTTGAGCAGCTCAATGAGACTCATCCCGAGACTTAGTTTCTGTTGGATCCAGTGGTCACGTGATATGGCACGTGATCCTGTATGCCGCAGGACCTCTATGATTGCTATCTCCCATCGTCCCCTGCTCTCTCCTTTCCCCTTAGTCAGTCATCATAACCAATAGAATCCATCATTGGTAACTGCATCTCCATCATTGTAGCCTGTTCCATCATCAGAAATCCTCTCTAAAGTCAATCGTAGTCCCATTAACTGAAGCATACGGCCTCGTATAATTGTCACCATCCCACTTTGCACGCCAAACCTCTCTTTTTCCCTCTTGGTTATCAGTTAGCTTTGTAAAACCCACGACATCTGTCTCGCCGACTCCAGTAAATTTAAAGCGTCGCACTCCACATTTTGGACAGAAGTAGAATTTCCGTTTCTTGTCGTAACATTGGTAGGTACTCAATCCATGATCTGGATCAAGTGGTGAACGGAGCATGAAATCGTCTCGAGGATTGGCAGGATGAACGTGAAACAAGTTCATTTTGTGATATGTGCTGCGGTCACAGCGATAGACTTCTTGTCCCCTTTGTTGTGGTGGATGGGATGACGAAAGTGGATGTGGAAGGGCCAGGAAGACGATATACTTAATTCGCAGTGGCAGGACCCGTGGCATGCCTGTCTCTTTGGAACTTTCTCTTCCATCTCGTGAAATGAGAGATCTTGGAATGAAGTCCTGATCTGGGGTGACAAATTGATCAATCAAACAACCTCAGAGTGCAGAGCGCCGTGGAATATCTCTGGATAATATCATGATTAACTTATGAGAGACCTTTGCTCTTCACAATTGGATGTAGACTAAATAGCAGGTAGGTATTGGCAAGAGACAAACTAGAAATGCTCAAAGTCTAATTCAATGTACAGTCGTGCACTATATGTACTAGCTCTGGAGATATCCCTTGCATTTAGGTACACTGTGTTTGGTGAGCTAAGGAGAAATCACTTGACAGCATAGCCATTTCGGACTTAGGATATTCCGTTTCCACAGATATCTGTCAGACTGGGATATGGCCCCCCTAGGCCCTAAACAGGAACCGAGGTTTTTGTTATGGTCTAGTGGTAAAATAGGCTGTATTTTTCCCACAATATCAACTAACTAGTTAGTGGTCCCACGTGAGCCAAGATAATGCCTCCAAAGCTGTGTGCGCGATGAAAACTCGAGGTCTCAACCGGAGCTAGTCACTAATCAGCCGAATTTCTATCAATAGACAAGCCAGATACGACATCCTACCTCCTTAGTGTGCCAGATTTTCTTGATCTCCTCCAATAGCTCCCGCCCGTAGTCGAGGATCGTGCTTCTAAGCTTGGAGTTGTACCCGTAGGTCATTGTGCGACACTGCGGAAGATCCTTTGACAGGAAGTCCCTCCAACCAAGATTGCCTCTTCCATGCCACGATCCATACGCATGTCCATCCAGTCTGCTATTAACTCAGAACTTCTGAAGGCAGTTCTTGACTTTGCTTTCCTCTGGGATAGAGATCAAATTCAGACATATCATTGCTACCAGACTAACGATGGCCTCTTTAAAAGAGGTTACTATGTAAGACAAGCTGGGAGTGTACCCAACACATTGCATGATCTTATATGAAAGAGGCCCAAGCAAAGGACTAATCGGCTTGTCTTCCGTGCTTGAGGAAATCATACTTCAAAGGGTCATCTCCAATTGGCTGAATAGGGTTGGCGTAGTATGGTCTCACGGATCTATGCAAGTCGACTTGGATATCAATTGGAACAGGCTGTACATTTTGGGTCAATCAGCCGCATAAATGGCAAGAGGATCAATACGACTCACGATTCCCATACCGTTCAAGGCCCGATATATAGGCTCCGGTGCTTGCTCAAACCTCTTATTGGTTCTTTTCAGATATCGGCGCATTGGTACGGTGGCGGGAACTTGTGCAATGCACTTGACACCCTCTGCCTTCTGCTGCTGGCAATTACCACAGGCGCTTGAGTCAAGGGAGCCACTGAAGTTGTAGATACTGGCGACGAACCCCTCCGACTCAGGTCCGCCGAAGTTGTCCGTGATGTTCAAGAAGAGATTGATCTTGTAAGATGCACCGTTTAAAGCGTATCTTTGTATGTCAGTGATAAAACCAAGGGAAAAAGTGATATACAACTCACTTGTCATAAACGACAGTAATAACAAAATCGTCCCGGTCGCCATCATTCTTAGGAAGCCCATCAAAGAGATTCTTCGTCGGGTTTCCGTATAGCTCGGCAATGTTTTCCAGGATTTTCTTCCGATCGTCCATGGAATCGTGAGTTCGTTCCTGGAGGATTTCGTACTCATAGCCAAGGGCTCTCCAGTCTCTCACATCATCTGACTTCCAGAAGTTGCGATTTGCGTCTTTGTGAAAGGGGGTCAACTTATTGTCCTTGGTGGGCTTGCTGTAGGTATCATCAAACCACTTCTCCCAATTCAGGATTTGCCACATGGCAGTCAGGCGGTCGATGTTACTATATCAATTGTTAACATCCTCCAGTCATTTATATATAGAGGCATACTTGTGGTAGATGAAGAAGATGGGATCAAAGGCCGCCATAAAGACACTGCTCATATGGCCAGCGCCCCAGAGGTGGATGTCTTCTTTCGGTGGGCGAAGAAATTGGGTTCCTCCCACAAAGTTCTGGACAGTGTCAGACTCTTGCACACCCATGATACTCCGGATACTTACATGAAGGTTATTGTGAATGAACTCCAGATTCATTGCGTCCTTTGCCAACTCGGCTTGAATCGGGGGCTTTGGGTAATTTGACGTGTAACGGGTGGTTGAAAACGCTCCCCAAGAGCTAAGGCCATACTGGAACAACCGGTATACTAGATCCTGCAGAGTAGGAACCGGCGTCTCCGCATTTACACCCTTATCTTTATCGCCATAATAAGGATGCTCGTTGAGGGCATAGTTGGCTCGAAGCCAGTTCTGGCCTCCGTCGGCCCATATGCTCGCATCGAACCCATCGAGAATGCCGTACTTGGTAGTCGCATTGCATTTATCCCACTAGATAGTTGATCAGTTCCCGTGAGTCTGAACACTAGGATAACAAGAGACTTACAGGATAGGTAAACTTGGGATTCACGACTACTTCCTGGGTTGGATCTTCCGGGTCCTTGGCCTTTTGCTCCGGAATATCTTCCCCAGTAATCTTGTATAGAGTAGGAAACTCGCCCATTAGTTTGGGGGTCACATATTTATACAGAGGATTGGGTAGAGACTCGATGGTAGGACCCTTGTCTTTGGGAAACACGATAATTTGTACACTCGGCATCATACAAAGAATGGGTAGTCTGAGCCTATCATGGTCGATATCGTACTCAAAGGCGCCAGCAGTCGATGGGGGTCGATTGGCAAAACGAGCAAAGTCCCAGTATGGAAGGCGCCATTTGTCGGCTTCTTTCTTCCAGGTGTCCTGACTGTCGGCCGGAACACTTGTGCCAATCCATTCATACATCGCGTCATACAGAGCTCGCTGCGTGTATTTGTCAGTGACCTATTCACCATTTCTCCCAACCACCAAGATTCACTCGCCTCATAGAGCATCATATACACCCGATGCCATGTCGGGAACGTGTAATTATTATGGACACAGTATCCTGGAATTCTGTCCGAGTCATCGGCTGGGTTTTCAGGAGGTTGATCTACATCGTCCCATTTGCACCATGGAGCAGAGTGTATGGCAGCCAGACGGAAATAAGACATCAGGTTATCCAGAGGACGTTTTTGAATCAGAGCCAGAGCTTCCACAAAGAGGGTGAGCTGTATTCTGCCGCCACCGCCATCCTTCACCTGGTCCATGTACCACTTGTCGATGTCTTGCCGGAGGTAAGGTTTGCCATTGGCGTCACGAGTCTCAATACCCTTGACGATAATAGTCATGTTGGGCAGTATAGACTTAGTTTGGAATAAGAATGAGATTGAGAATGCCCAGTGTCTGAACTGATTGATGGATGATGTGAAGTAGAAGCGATGAACTGGGCTTTATATAGATAAACTGTGACGTTCTTTTTTTTGCGCTTTAGTTGGAGTATTCTTGAGCTCAGCTGGGAAGAAGCCTTCTAAAACCGTCTGCAGAACGACATGTATCACACTAGTTAATGATGCAATTGAGTACGTCAACAGCAGGGATGGGCGGTTTCCGAAACCATCTATTATGTGATATCGTGGACAACTTAGGAGGATGCATCCATTACGCTAAATTCAAAATTTCTTCGCAGGGTTAAAACTCTATTGCAGTATGTGGAATAAGCTAACTTATAGAGACATCTGAGTCTTTTAAAGTTTGCGAATGATGGTTGCAGGAAAGACAGCCAAAATCAATTCGTAATTTATGCCCTGATAGCTAATCATGTAAACTAAATGGTAATATGCACGCCTGAACTCTCACGACGCGTATAACTTTTCAAACTCTAGTATGTCTTATTCATGGCCGAGTCCTTAATCGATAATCAACATTTGAATACTAGAAAAGTAGAGTTTAGAGGCCTTCCAAGATATTGTTTGCTCTTGGTCCCATAGGCTAGCTGTAACTTATCTTCATATCACACACACCTTACTCGGGAGACCCACTGGGCCATTTTGCAGCCGTAGCGATCTAGATTTGTTAGTACACAAAGGGCATTTGTTACAGGGTATTTAGATTGAGTATCGATACTCGCTGTTACGCATCGATTCTGCCAGGGTTCTCTCTGCTCTCGAACAATTGCGTGTGGCGAAGAAAATGGTGACGTTCCATACAGTAAAGGAAATGCTACTCTGTAGAAGGTGAGCCGTGGGCTACACAACAAGGGTTCTGCCTCTGAGATCCTAGAATATGGCTGCCTATCACTGATCGTTCCTTATAAAAAGGGCATCAAAAATATCATGAATACGGTTCGTTGAGGATTAGTCTTGCCATCAATACTACTCCCACCTTTATCTTTCCTTTCCATCCATGGTTCATTTTATCATCCTTACCTAACCAGCCAACACTTAAACAGCATTCTCAAGCAGCATTATTATTGCATTTCACAAACACAAAAGCCGCATAGTTCTATTAAAAGTGTTTGCAGACTACGAGTGAGTATATATGAGGTACACATAAGGCAGGGCATATTGAGACACTCACTTCCATGACCTACATTCGCCATTCAATACCTTGGAAAAGGAAAATAAAGAGACAAGTTTTCCAAATCAATCAATAAATCAATCAAAGTTCAATTAACCTGTTGCAGTCTAACTAGTTGCGTATGACTATGCAGGCGTTTCATCCAACTGAAGCAAGAACTCAAAGCCAAACGCTGAGTGGGATTACTCTCAGTGTATACAGATGCTGATCGTAAAGAGTGCGGAATCAGCCCATTCCTGTAACCCATAAACCCTTGAATCCAAACCCATCCAAACCCATATATAAGAAATTAACATATAATGATAGTTGTGGAGTGCACCCTCTACCTTCCAACCCCCATATCTCTCTCTCTCTCTCTCTCTTTCTCTTTCTCTCTCTCTTTCCCTGTACCCTCCCCTGCCTTAGTTTCAATTAATGGTGTCGTTGCCCTGGCTAGTTTATTGGCGTGTTCGTCGACTCTAGCTGAGTTTCTCGTTTTCACAGCATCATCTCTCGTCATTGGCTAATACCCATCGTCTTCCACACCGGTGCCACAGGATATACGTAGGGTTACATTCGGGCGGGTGGGTTACACCGGGCGGGAACGGGCGTGAACGGGCCGAACCAAAAAGATAGAAAAACTGTTATGACGTTAGGTTGATGGCCAGTTGTGACCTACATGTAGACCTCGAAGGGATTCGTAGTAATCCGGGTCCTGATCCTAATCCGCCCCGATCCGCTAAATTGACAAACATAGGAAATCTCGTGATATGTGTATGAGGCCCGTGTGGCGCTAGCCGATAATCGGGCGCCTTGAGTTGTTGGGTCCAGTGGTCACGTGTATCATCACGTGACACTATTTACCGCAGGACCTCTGCCGTCTTCCACCTTCCCCTGCTCTCTTTTCCCCTTCTTAGTTAGTCATCAACCAATAAGATTCTATCATTGGTAGTTCTATCTGTTACCAGCCAGTTCTTAAATGAAAGAGTGCATTTCCACGAAAATACTAAGTACAGAGAATAAAAGAAAGAGAGAAAGAACCTCTGAAGCAGGATCCTTTGTGGGTTCCTGTCACAATTAGACAAACAATGCAAACAGCGTCAAGGCGAAAACCTCTGACAGAAAGTATTCGGCCGAAGAAATCATCACCCAATCAGGAAGCGGTAGCAAATAGCAGAAAGTATTCTGCCGAAAAGACAACCCAGATCGTCACAAGTGGGAGGACATGGTCGAGTACGATTTAAAAGTCGAGCGAGGATAACTTGATAGAGACGCGAGGACGGACGGGAGAAAGTTCGACGATTATACCAATCAATCAATCAATCAATCAATCAATCAAAGTTCAATTAACCTGTTGCAGTCTAACTAGTTGCGTATGACTATGCAGGCGCTTCATCCAACTGAAGCAAGAACTCGAAGCCAAACGCCGAGCTGGAACCACACAGTGCATCCCATAGAGTATACAGATACTGATCGTAAAGATTGCGGAATCGGCCCATTCCTGTAACCCATAAAAACCCTCAAAACCGTAATCCCATACATAAGAAATCAACATATAATGATAGTCGTGGAGTGCACCCTCCACCTTGTTGGGTCCAGTGGTCACGTGTCACACCACGTGACCGTGTGTGCCGCAGGACCTCCATGATTGCTATCTTCCATCGTCCCCTGCTCTCTCTTTTCCCCCAGGGCTGTTCATGTACGTAGCAGTTTCGGCCTGGATCATCTCCATGTTTCCCTACTTTATTAACTTCCCGTAGTTTTCAAGTCATATTCCTAGGCAAATTAATGAGTTTGGAAGCGTACTGTAAAGAAACGCATGGAAACGGCTGTCACCTCCAGTCCTCGGGTCCAGGCTTTGATAAGCAGGTTTGCGGGGTAATTGATCTTTATCCCCAGCCTTTTGCTTCACCAGAGTTCAATCAATTTTCCAAACTTGGCCTTCTCATGGAGCCCACGAGTTCTCTTCCATTTCGCGAGTATGACCAGCCACCTTATCCTGAAAGGAGCAAGGATTTAACGGATACTAGGTTTCTAGGATCGGATATGGTTGAGCTTTGCACTTCATCCTGCGCCGAGTCTTGGAAGATCCACCAAAAGGTTTTGGAGTCAAAATGCAAAGCTCCAGGAGTAGCTCTGACAAACAACTTCCCAGAGCGCAACTCTGGGCGGTATACATTTATGGAGACAAGTTATGATACTGTGGCACGGTTCATCGAATAGGCATATAAGGGTGACTATACCGAGGTGACGCTCACACCTATGTCAATGCCTCCATCCAAGCAACTTGAGGGTACATCCGAATCATCGCAGTTAGAGCCAACGATTGACGAAAATACGGCCTTGCAAGCACACACCCTGCTATGCCACCTACGAGTTTCTGGTCTCAGAACTCAAGGCTCCGGCATTCGAAAAGTTCACCGTGGTTCTGAAAGATATGAGAAAGCCGAGAAATATTGATGAGCAGCTCGCGGTCATCGATTGCCTATCGTTGGCATTTTCGAAATTGCCTCTTCATGATAAGCTTCCTGAATGGCTAGCACAGTATGCTGCTTGGTGCCTGGACAGCTTACGTCTTCAGGCAAAGTTTCATCAAATGCTTCGGAAATTTCCAGCACTCTGCTCTCGTATGATGGAAACGTTGAATCCGGCCAAAGAGGCTCCTTGGAATACCAAGTCACCTAAATACCGTGTACCCTCTTACGATGCTCGCACTTGTTATGAAGAAGAAGACAATTATCGAGAGGCAAGAGAAAATGGATGGAATCAAGACCCTGACTCGTTATTTCTATGAGTTTTCCTCGAACTACCATACGGAGTCTCGAGTAGCAAAACAAAATGACATCTTGCTAGATAACCCAGCCAGTGCTGAAGCCCTTCTGTTTGGAATCATCGCACGGCCATCAAACGTCCTGGCAATGTGAGCAGTCGTGCTAAGCTCGATCTTTTCTCCGAGATCAACTGTTTGAGATTACAGCTGGTGATTTGAGTATTCTATATTTCAAATAAGATGGAGAAAGTACAATATTCAGTGCCACTTCCTTACTTTCATTTTCAATGTTGATAAGTGACTATCTCATGTAAGCCCCATTCCATTCCTCCCCCGTCTTCCACCCTTCGTAAAATATGTTATATTTCCCAACTATAGAGCTATAAGGAAGCTGCGATGTGGGGACAAATGTAAGGAAACTTTTTGTCTATAAACTAAATTGAATTAGCACTGTCCTCCCTTACAATTAGGTTAATAAACATTTTTCATTATCAGGCCCCTCAGCATTTTCGACCGCAACTCTTACTTTTCCACCTTCCAGCAACGTGGCTGCCTTGGGCCGGACGCCTTAGGTTGACAAGGTCACCTAGGTGCAGCTGCCGCCGTACTCGACAAGTTGCTGCAAATAACAGAAGCATACCGATCTAGGTCGGAACAATGGATAGATGCTTCCCTAAATATAGCTGACTATATTATATAATTAAATTTAATAGTCAAAGGGTTTAAGAACGGCCTAGTAAGAAGGCAAAATCTAATAAGAAATCATATTATTAGGATATAAGGCTAGTACAAATCAGGAATCATACTATATTATCCGAATTGGTCCCTTTATAACGTATATGAAAAGTTAGGATGATTTCGAATCTATTACACCGCTATGATATATAGTCTCTTATACTCCCTTAGTCATTCCTTTAAACTACAACAATATCAATAATAATGTCGCTAACAACCACAGACGTTACTATAGTCGTAAGGTAAGACGTTTTAGATATAATCATCTTTTAGTTTGTTCTAAAGATTTCTCCTACCTTCCTACTTTAGGTCTCTTAATATACTTTTGCTTTTAAGCTATTTAACCTAAACCACTTAAGTCGATAGCTTTACGCTCCGTTCTACTTTTTTTAATACTCTTAAGGTTACGAGTAGGGTTACTATTTCTTCTTACTCGCTTCTTACTTGCTTTTTTCCTATACTCCTCTTGATTTACGTCCTCTTCCTTCTCTCTATCTACTAACGTTCTATCCTTACTCTCTAAAATAGATTGACTTATAGCTTCCTAGTGCGTTTTAGGCTTTTTAGTACTCTTAGCCGGGCTTTTAGTAGTATCGCTATCCCTTCTTCCTCTCTTCTTGCTCTTTAGTAACCCTGTATCCGTATAAGCTCTATCTTTCTCTAATCATAGTTCTGCCTACTCTACCGAAGGGCCCAATTTTGGATTATTTAGATCTCTTCGCTGAGGTTGAGGCAAAGGAGTTGGAACCTCCTTCATTCTGAAAATTGGAGGAACGGACATTGGGGGTTTATTGTGTAGCCTTGCGTGAGACTCATTTTGCGACGTGTAGGCTCCTACTACTAGCGCGCTCGCTTTCCAAATTTGAAGATGCTTATGTTACCGCCGTCACCCTTAAATGTACATCTGTAATTTATAGTAATTCAACCATTAAGTTTGGGTGTGCTAGACTGGACCACATAAAAACCCACAATTTTCCAGTGGCTTCATTTCCTCAGCAGAGTAATCAATGTCCTGGAGATTGACGGTCGCGAATGTTCCTCGGTCCATTCTTGAAGGCCCATAAGACGTGATACAGCTGCCCGTGCTACGTGAATACCGTAGCTTGTGTCTACACAAGTGCGCCATGGAGTCTCGACGAAAGGCCCGACTAGGGCGAGATTGACGACTGATTTTGGGGCAATACAAGGGCGATCTTCGAAAGACCTGGTCAATAATGTCGAGCTCATCTTCGGCATCACGCGTGGAATGGTAATAGATCGCTGTAGAACTTCCGTGGCCAGTTCGCCAGAGAGATCCAGAAGATGTAGAATCTCGGACATGACTTCTGCACCGGAACAAAACAACATGCTCTTTTTAATATGCTCGCCTTCATTTCCGGGAAAGAGCGCAAAACCCCAGAGGACACGGACGTCTCGCGACTGTTGAGCAAACACGGGCTGGATAGGGAGACAAAGCCTTATGCCCCAGCCACTTTTCTTCATGAGAATAATTGCACCAGCCTGAGATTGGCATTTCGATAGAGATTGAAGATATTCGACAAATCCGATGTGCTCTGTTGTGACAGTAAAGGATTCCAATATAGATTCGGATTTGCGTGTGCAAAAAGTGTAAGGATTGCCATGATCGGGGTATTTGTTGCCAGCTTCTAACCATAGTGCCCAGTTCGCGTCGAGGTGGTCTCTCGCTTCGGCTGAAAGCCAAGCTGGCGGGAGATCATTTGTTCCAATTGCAGATCCCGAGATAGTCGAGCCCAGTGTAGCAATGACGATGTCGCTGTCTCCTAGAAACTTTTTGGACTCAAGTCCGTGCTGAGAAACGGCTAGCCGGCTGATTTTATGACGGTTTTGGTCAACCGTAGTCTCGATATTCCGTATTTTGATGCCGAACTGAAAGTCCACGCCCTGACTCTGGAGAAAGAAATAAATGGGAAGGTATATTGCCTCGTACTGATAATAACCTGTGAGATGCAGACAGCTCAAAATGCTTAAGCTGTGGAAGTCAGATAAATATTGCCTAACAGCACGCCTGAATTCTGTGGCACTGTGCCAGGGCTGAAAACCGAATCTTATAGATTCGTATGTCTAAAGTTAAACCAGGCTATCAATGCGTTAGGCCGTGTAGTTACTTACTGAGTCGACCAGATTGTCCAAAATGTACTTTCAAAGAAGCTTTCCCCAAAAAAGCTACGGACATCCTTTTTTTGCAGGCTTTTCTCCCCTTTTAGAAGAAGCCGCATCATATGTATTCTGTGGCTCCACCCTATATTCAGCGACTTCGTGGGCAGGTGTTTGAAAGCTCCGTCGTTTTGTGCAATAAAACAGGTACCATCTTCTCTGTTCATCGCGAGTTCTTCTCTGTTCATCGCGAGTTGTTTCTCCTCTTCTTGGATGTCATCAAAATAGGAGCGGCCTTCGGCCACAGCGGATGGAATCATACGGAGAATCTCTCTCAACTCCGATCCAACGGGAACAGGAAGACAACCCGCAAATTGGTCGTATCCTTCATGCTCACTACCTTGTTGATGTACTGCTTGCCGTAAGGACAAGTGTTCATCTAGGATATGCACAGCAGAAGGACGTAAATGAGCAAGCTTTATCAGATAAACTGCTGATGATAGAGACGCAATTCCGCTTCCAAGGATCCAGGCCTCAGTTGCTTCTGGTAAGCGTCGGCTGTATCGTGCTGAGCTATCCATAGAGAGTGATTGTAGGCGAAGTATATTTGAGTGTTGTGGACTGGTGCAATGTACACATGTCGAACATTAAAATGAACATCGCGCATGTATCCGTCATTTCAATCGATGAAGTCACAATATGGTGGCGATACGTGACGTTCGGGTCCGTCTCAGTCATAGAAGTCTAAAGGCTGTCTTGTCCAGCCACCATAGCCACAGATCAGTTTGCAAGAGGACCATGGCTCGCTTCTACATGCAAGGGTTCATCTTGGGTAAACCGGATCAGACAGAACGGACAAGCGAGAAATGCTGCATAGTGAAAGAGTTGCGTTATATTACACAACTACATGTTAAGGAGGATATATCTCAATTGGTACTAAGACCTCTAACAGCTCGGTGCAAAGGGCGCGTTTCTGTGACGTCATCAACAATGACATTTTGTCCAAGTCTCCGGTCCCGGGTATACAACATCACTACTAAACTAAGAAAGTCCCGCTTTCGAGGAATGACAGCCTCGCTCATTGTGTGTTTCAAGATATACTAGTATGTTCTTTGGTCGACGTTATCCTCGCCAGCAACCCAGCCAAAAAATATTTACAGGCAGTTGCGGTAGCCAAACTATCCATTGATTAGGAAGGGGCAAGGGTAAATCAATCATCTTTCCGACTGTATACACTTACTTAGCACGGACAAATAGAGAGTAAGAAGAAAAGAGACAGAAGGAAAACCAGTGAAAGAACGGTATAGAATACCATGGCTAAACGGTACCTCAGCCCAAAAATAGTTCATAGCAGACACCTAAGCAGTGACATACAAGCAGTGCGTGCAATATACCTACTAAGGGAAAGATGACCTGCGCATAGTGAGTGGCAAAAAGATGACTGCCAAAAGGTATACGAGTCCAACGACTCCAACGACCACGCTAATTGCAATGATTGCCCCAATAGGAGCAGCCCGTTCATTCTTGCAAACTGAAACCCAGGCCGGCGTTGAAAATACCAAGCCCAATGAGAGAACGGCAAGTCCACCGATGCATATAAGCAAATGAACCTTTCTCCTCCGTTTTGCGAAAATGAAGGTGTTAAAGGAATCCCATAGTGGGCTGAAAAAGAAACAGAAACGAGATTGCCACGACTCCGATGATGGGATGATAGCCTCCGGTGAGATGAAGGCTTCGTGCCATTGATCTCCCTTATGAACCAATTTATCTCTTCCGGCGTTCCGGAGCGAAGCCTAGCCACAGTACAACAGAGAACGGCATGTAGGTTCAAAAGCTCAGCAGTATGAGCTTTGCGTCTACGATCACTACGTGAATCGTAATCGAGCACTTCTTTCGCATTGAGTCTTACGCAGAAGCCGCCGCTAACCGGCCACGACTGGGGAGTCAGCCACGACTGGGGGGTGGACCACGACTGGGGGGTGGACCACGACTGGGGGGTCGACCACGACTGGGGAGTCGGCCACGACTAGAGTGCCTGGAGAGAAAGCCAATACGATGCCACCAATACGGGACTGAAACGGAACAGTGGGTCGAGACCGTATATAAAGCACTTCTTGTCGGCGAAGTACAATCTATCACATCATGGTGGACTCACTCGATTGTACTCTTGACAATGCCCTTGGTCGCCAAACGAATGAACTTGCTCGCAAAAGATTGCAATTCTACCGCGGATGCGCCAATTGTCGATTTCAATTATTTGTTCTTTGAAGAACCCCATGAATATGTGGGTGTGAGGCAATATGACCAGAAAAATGTTGACCGGCTCATACATATTTTTGAGATTGAGGGCTGTTGTAACTTAGAGCCTGAACATAGGATTGCCGCTGTTGTTGACTCATCTAATTTCACAAATGCCCTCTCGATGACGGGAGCCACTGAAGAACAGCTGCTAGACCCCGCATCCCAGATCGCGCTGAAATTCAACGATAATGCTCGACTTGTATGTGTTTATGGAAAGCATCTGTTACGTGCGGCCGAGGCTGTCGGAGAAAGTTGCTGGTTGGTCGACATATACAATGACGGTCAGTCCCCTTCTTCGGTGCAGTGGCAGATACTCAACGTCGCAACCAGATCTTCCAGATTTGGCGCGGAGTCAGCTTCGCTAAAAATCTTCTAAAAGCCTGGAGCTCTCCGACGGAGAGATATACCGTATATACAGAATTTACATAAATGCACAAGATGAGAGGCAAGCGGCCAAATGGTGGGCAAGACTAGGTACAGATCGCCGCCGGAAGTGGCTTAAGCGCCTGCAGAAAAAAGCCGCCCTTTTTAAAGGCTTTGAGAGCCTTCTACAATTTTCTGGGCTTTGGAAACCGCTTAACTCCTCCCAGATTGAGCGAATGATCAAACTAGACTGCCCTGAAGACCAGTGGCATTCATCGACCACGCCCGGAGCTACCGTGCAGCAAAACTGATACAAGAATAATTCTAGCTGGCTTTGCCGTCGACAAAGAAGTTTGTGCCTTCCTTGAAAGCTGTGCAGAATTAGGTGCTTGCAATTGTCACTGGTGGAATTCAGCAGTCTTGCCTATCAGCCGTTGTAATTGTATCATCCGAACCTGGGTCCATGTGGCTGGTCAACACCATCTTGGTTTACAAGGTTGCAAAATGAGATTTCAAATCTTTCTGCAGAGGAAAAATAATGAAAGAATTTTTACCTGCAAATGGTCTCCTTTCCATTAGGAAAGGGTTAGTTACAAGCCGAAAAATTGTTGGACGCCACTCCAATCAATATGTGAAGACTTCAGGGAGACCTCTAGGGCCAATGTCATGGTAGATTTATGGTACCAGTTTCTCATAAAACCTAGTATGATATAATACTATTATTCGATACGATTCGACGATTGAAATCAAGCTAAGACATAGATAGACTGGCATGTTTGCCAGGGACACACCGGGAAGTAGGGACATACCGGGGAGTAGGGACACACTGGGGAGTAGGGACACACTGGGGAGTAGGGAAACACTGGAGAGTAGGGAAACACTGGAGAGTAGGGACTTACCGGGGAGTAGGGACACACTGGGGAGTAGGGACACACCGGGAAGTAAGGACACACCGGAGAGTAGGGAGACACTGGAGACTAGGGACAGTGGAGAGTAAGGACACACCGGAGAGTAGGGACACACCGGAGAGTAGGGACACACTGGATGGAATTAGCCATTCTGTCTCATTTACTTGCCTCACGAGACTATCCTTGACCGGGCTTTAGTGATCAGCATGCCAAGGCGAGCTATAAGCCCCCAAGGAACGCTAATACTACTCCTAGGAACACCAATACCCCAGGAGCTAGCCCTGGTCAAACGCCGGTTTAGAGGTATAATGTCAATAGGGCTATCGTTTCAGGAAGCTAAGATCTGCCTTTGGGAAAGGCATTTGCCTTCGCCTGCTAGCTTTATTCTTCATTTCTTCATCTTACTCTGTATCGTGTTATCTCTAGTTCACGTGTATTTAGGTTCAATTTAGTTACATAAGCAATGCAACGGATCAACCATAGATCCGCCCTTCATGCAGTGTAATGCAAACATCCAAGCCCTCTTCCCACCCTCGTACGTTCTCCATGATAATTAATATAAGCCGTGTCGCTAAGATGCCATTGGAGCTCAGCGCGGAGAATTTTTCTCCAACCTTCAAGACAGCTTCTCATTAATTCATGTACAGGCTTGTTCATACCTCGAGAAGTCGCCTTGTCTCCGTCCATGAAACTCCAGCCACAATTTTGGGCCCGCCGGAGGGGTTCGGAAAATTGGAAAATTGGTTTAGCCGAAACCCGACTGGAGTGATATGGTCACATCATTGGCGATCCAGCATGGTCGCTAACCTGCTTTTCCCCCTTGTCCCGTTTGGCGCCTTCCCCCTCATCCTTCCCGTATGCAGCCCAGCCTTCCTCTACGCACACCAGTCATAAAACAGAAGGCCATGTTCACCTCTGTAGAGACCTAATACTGGTAGAGAAAGATGTTTCTATTTTCTCCATGGATTTTGCTATCTCACACTACTCGATATCCACTAATAGTAAATCGGCTGTTTGCGCCTTGATTTGTTGATTTCTCTTCTCCGTTGACCCTCTCCCTATCTTGACAAAGAGACAGAAGCGACTTCATCCTCGGCACCTACGCTTAAGCCCGGAATAATTACGCAGCTTCTCCAACCTGCGGGAGTATGACTATGGGAGATGCTGCACGCCCAAGTGATGATAAATTCAGCCGGACCCTTGAGGAGAGTCTCACGACATGGTCTTCCTATCTCGATGCCCAGAGCGATGATCATCTACTGCCCCGGCATGCCATAGACCTGAGACCTCTCGTCAGTCAAACACCACCTTTCCTCGGCGGTGGCCCTACTACCCTGAACAAAACCACTTCGTTCGCTTGCGAGGAGAAGAACTCAACACAGATAACAGGCAATCTTGTCGTCAATGGCCGATCAACTTGGAGAACTTCAAAAGGGAATTGTGATTCACAGCCAAGGGTCATACCTAAGCAACTTCTATTAGCAGTTGGCAGTCGATTAAATGTGAGGTTGGCAGACGACTCCCCCTTTTCAGACTGGCCCGGAGTTCAGGAACTCTCAAGTTATGACAAGGGAAACTATTTGTCAGTCCTTTACTTTGCATGGGCATATATCATATCTGCTCGATGGGTTGAGTTGCTTAGTCGCTCTGCTGATCATGAATGTTATATGGCCTGTACTACGCAGGGGGCGGGGATTTCAATGCCGCGGTCGGATAAGGAATCAGTGGTTGAAGTTGACATCGGCGACGATGCTTGTGAAGAAGAAGTCTTCTGGTGGCACACCATTTTATGTTCTGGCGACGGCTGGGATGCGTCGGTGAAGTACAATGGCCGTATCTATTTGTCGCCGTGGTCTGTGTCGGCGAAGAACGTGGGCTTCACCCTGGCTAAAAATGGGCTTTCGAGTGCCGAGTCAAACCTGCCGGAATCGGCGACCGCTCTTAAATACCTATCTCGTTTCTGTGTGCACCATCGCCTATACGCTCAGTGCTCAGTTGCCCTTGCGGGGGTACTCTGCATTCCATTTCTGAGGAAGAGAACAGTTTCTCTCCCGTTTCCAAAACAAAATTCTCGAGTGAGAAAAAAGGAGAGAACTTGTGAATCTTCTGTTTCTATCCCAGATCTTCTCAACGAACACAACGAATTGCTCCCCAAGTACATGACTTTAAGTTCCAATACGTGGGGTTTGCGCTCTCTCCTGTGCAGCACATTTTTCAATGCAGATATCGAGTGTAATCTCGTCAGTGCCTGGCTAAATCCGGCTTTTGCTGTTATTGACTCGATCCACCAAAGGAAAATTTCAGTGGCTGCATTACTGGCAAACCGACAGCCTCGACTTGGGATCCTCTGGCTTGGTGCGATCCTCACGGACCTAGCGGACTCCGTCTTGCGTGACATACGAACAGGAATGACGGCTCTGGATCTTACAGCTTCCGCCTGGGCGGGAACAACACAGACGTTCTTGACTTCAAAAATGGGGAATAATCATGGCGAATTAATACGCCGCGATGACGAATGCCGGCTGCTTTTCATTACAGCCTGCGAAGGCCATGATCGACCTCCAATCTGGCCTTGGAAGCCCTTTGGGTTTACACAACTTGGTGATACAGAGCTTCCGGTCCGACAGCATGCTCGATGTGCCACTCACTGCTTAGAATACGAATATTGGGAATGGATTTTGACAAACAACAACTCAATTCGATACTCCGAAGCAGGAAATGGCCAACCTCCTGTCCAGGCATCAACTTCATCCACCGACAGGACATTGGCTAGGCTTGATGATTATAACTATGATTTCTATTCACAGGCCCTTTCTGAAGGAGCCACGCGTGGAATATTTGAATGGTTAAGATCGACAGGGTACCCTCGCAGCGAAAGACCGATATACCAACATTCTTGGTTGGATTTAGAAGGCACCGACGAAGAAGAGCCCGACGAAGCGGATTCCGACTTGGAAACACAGCGGGGCCCAAAGAAAATGCATGTTGAAAGGTGGCTAGAAAGCATCGAATAGCTCTTGAATGCAGTCAGACCGTGAGGTCAATATATTCATTGAAACCATCTGGGCCTCCAGCGGGGTGATCAGGGCATTTGGCACAGATTACATATACCCCTGAATCGCCGTGATCGCCGGTTTGACATATCTTCCACCTCTTGCGACATTTTGCTTCCTTGCACGTATAGGTGTTGTGCTCATTGTTCTAATGGCCACACCTTGAGTTCGAGCATGAACCAACTTGGCCGGAACTCGCGGTCATTTTGAATCTTCGTACAGAATTCAAATGTGCTCTGTCCCAATTCAGTGTCTGCTTCATATTTGTCTATTAGCCATGCATTTTCGCTTGCTGTCCTGGTAATTATGAATACTGCCTTTTGAAAGTAAGTGAAGATTTGGTAATGCTTTGTGACGGAGTTTGTGGTTATTTCTGAGCAACTGAGGGGATTCAGACGCACTTAAAAGCCATAGCTTCGTACTGTATTTATTACTATGAATAAACAATATATCTTGTCACTTGACGCTGTGGCTTGATAGTTTTCCGTTTTTTGGAGGTCCTTGCGCATATCATTTTAACAGTGCTTTCCAAGAAAGCCATGGATTCGTATGTCGGGTGCTATGGTGCCATCCTTGGGCGCTTAGACTAGTCTATTAGCATGTCCCCGAGATTGGCAGATTTACAGTTTGATTGGGCTTTGGCGTATCTTGAATACTACCTATCTTCTGTCTTAGAGAGTGTCAGATTCTTGCTGGGCGCCTAACGATAGGTACCTAGGCCATTATTCCACTAGGCGAAGCCCTTCGTTCACAGCGAGCCGAGCTGGCCAATGCGCCAGGGATCGTAAGCCGAACAGGACTGCAAGCTACGGCCACGAGAACAGTGACTACAATCTGAGGGCTATCGTTCCGGCGAGCCACTGGGCAGGCGGCGTATGTTGTCTCAGAAATCTGTGCAAACGTCGCCCTTTTCATTTATTCGGCCTTGAAGGTAAAGCGCAATCCTGCATTTTAAAGCTGCTTCATTGGCGCTTTTCGAATCACTGCCTTTTGCCCAAGTCTACCTATAGTGGTGCATGATCATCTCGATGACTATTTTCGATGCCGAGTGGGCGGATCAGCGGAGGAGAATATTGTCAAAGATCCAGTCTGAAGACATCCCCCGCATCGAAGCTTGCGCCCGAAAAACAGGGTCCTATTTTGCGGCCAAGAACGCAGAGCTCATTCACTTTACTCGGAAGAAAGTCGAGCAACTACAATGCCAATTGATCATGAATGGCAAAATAAAGACATTTGCACACAGTGCAAAAGACTGCACTTATCCGTATTTGTTCGCCTTTAGGACAGTAGGCACCGCGACGGTAGACGTTGAAGCAAACGTATTGCCGACGCATCTCCGAATTCTTGGTGGTAATTACTCGTTTCGCAACTAAATGCTCCGACCAGATATATTCAATTGTCGGACCAGACTGGTTGAATGATTGCGATCAAGAATCATATGCCTAGAAGTTATTTGACCAGGTTAATGACTTCGTCAATATCACCACTCCCATCCTTTGTTGGATTCTTTTTTCTGCTGTGTTTTTCAAACTTTAAAGGTCTGAGATTATGCTTACAGTCAGTCAAGTAGGCCGCGGTTATTTTTGACTTCATTTAACACAGAGACGTACTCTAGAAAAATAGTTAAATTGTAAAGTTGTTTTGTTGATGCTTTCATGTATCACTAGTATTAATAATGAACCAGTTGAGAGGAGACGAGCTTGATAAATTGGGGGCAGCTGGCCAAGATCCCGTTCCAGATCATATCTCTTAATAGAATTCGGTGGCTTTGTGATGGCCCAGAAATAGAAGCGCTAGCGTATCTCCGTCACATTTTGGAGGGGATAACCTATGAGGCCTTGGCGTCATACGCCTGTTGGGGCTGACTTGTGCACGGACTGCATTTCAAGTTGAGGCATGGTCCAAAGTGGGTACGACATTGTCTGGCAGTCTTGGCTTTCCCTTTCCGTTTTAGTGCTCACCCTATGCCGCTTTTTGCTCACTGAGTAAAACTGAGCACACCCCTGAGTATTATATAAGCATTGTTTTCGCTCACACCATTCCGCAATTCCATGGAACCCCATGAAAATCCAAGAAAACCCACAAAATTCCATAAGCTTCCGTAACCAGATAAAATTTCCATAATAATCAGATTTTCGGACCTGACATAATCCTTTAAGCCTGACGAATTCAAATACTAGTACTTGCTGGATGATATTACTCTGATAGAGGGGTTTGCATGGCAGAATTGGGTGGTATAAAAGGGCGGTAACTTGCTGGCAGCCTGGAACAAAGAAATCCACTAGCATAGATGGCCCGCGCCAGCCGCGAAATTAGATAATCGAAGGATTAAAAAAATTACAGGCTGGCCGGGTGATACTTTCTGTCTCCTGCTTGTCGTACGACTTTCGTCAATATGACATTGCAGTTTTTGGCGGGGTTAACATTCAACAATGTGTTCCAGGCTGCAAGGGGCCTCAATAACACTGTTCTCAGCGACCGACATGTCCAGAAGACAGATTTACAAGGGAAATGGGTGATCATCTCTGGCTCCAACAATGGTGTTGGACTGGAGGCGGCCAAGTCATTCGCTGGATGGGGAGCAAACCTGATCCTGGCCTGCCGCGATCCACCTAAGGGACTCGGCGAACTTCATCCCACAGCAGCCGTGAAAGAATGCAAGCGTCTTGCTGAGGCAAAGGGTCATATCTCAATAATAGAATGGTGGGAGATAGATATGGCAGATTTCAAAACTATCGAGGCTTTTTGCGAAAGATGGTTGAAGAGTGACCGCACTCTAGATATCCTGTGCAACAATGCAGGATCCCCATCTACCGCTAAAACTCGAATGACGAAGGATGGATTCCAGCTAGTTCACCAAGTCAACTTCTTATCTCATGTGTTACTTACACTCCGACTTCTACCCTCTCTAGGGCGCAGCGCGGATCCCCGAATCGTGTGTACCACATCATGCGGCCATTACTTCGGTGTCTTCGATCTAGATCATTTCAATGGTGGCCAAGAAATGAGAGGGAACGATTACTACAACAACAAGCTATATTTGCAGATATGGCTCGCAGAGCTGCAGCTCCGTTGCCTCAAGCACCCGGAGTACTCTCATATCAGAATCAACGGAGTCCATCCCGGTTTTGTCGCTTCGGGAATCTGGCACGCAAACGACTTGAAGAGCAATAACATCTCGATGCGAGCTCTTGTATTCTTCTTACGTTATGTCGCTATCACTCCGCAACAAGGTAGTCTGGCAATTACAAATGCGGCAACCAGCCCGGAGTGTGGGCGAACTACTAGTGGTGGAAAATATCTCAATCGCATTTGGGAAACGCCGCCACATTCCTATTGTCAAGACTCAGATGCACGGTCCAAGTTGTGGATTAAGCTGGATCAGGTCCTCTATCTCCGGGAAAAGGGTCTTCTTGAGGTTCTTGCTCTTTAACCTACTACTTTGTTACTAGTATATGATCAAAATGTCTTCAGCTCAACAGTTATTTAACCAGAGATCAGTTCGACCACAATTGTAACATGTTATATTGATATCCAAATGCCTCAAAGTCTACTAGTTTCCGGCATCATATTTCAATATCTAAATCTCGTAAAGTGGGAACTTTGTCTGTCAACTCGGTGATGATCTCATCCCAAGCCAACTTTTTTACCTTAGTCGCAGCCTTAGTCGCAGCCTCGCTCATGAGGTTCGGAAATTTTAGGCTAAAAGGAGAACTTGAAGTGAGCTAGGTTGTCCCTGTCTGAACATGAAGTATAGGAGAATAGGCCATACTAGTACCTTTGATATTCATCGTCCGTAAAAAGAGACTGGATGTACCTCCCCTAGACAACTCGTGGGTGATGAATTCATGCAATTTTCTACTTGTAGCAAGGTGAGATGCGAATCTGTGCGACTTACATGTCCATCAAGGGATGTCTGTGCCGCCTTTACATAGGTTCTTGCACCAAAGTCGGCTGACTTTCCCAGAATACGAAGATGCATAGGCACCAAGACCTGCATCAATGTTGACATGTTTCTTATAGGGCGTCCAAGATCAGTAGACACAAGACCAGGACAAACTGGATTTATGATAACATCGATCCTGTGGAGCGATACGTCTTTTTTTCAGTCGAGCAAACGAGAAAAGGGTATAGGGTTGCCTTACTTTCCATCAGGTCCCACAGCTTTCTCACAAAGTTTCTCCACAGCATAAGTCAACATAAGCTTACTCTCGGCATAGTTGGGAGACAAAGTGCCAGATCGCCAATTCTGCTTGTCACTGAGATATTGCAAAAGGCTCCCATTTTGAGCGGAAATACCAGCCCAGGCAGAGATGTCGGGGTCGAGGTGGTCGCGAGAAGTCACAAAGATAAGATGCGGAGGCTTGGGTCTATCCTGATGCTTCATCCAGTCAAGCAGAAGTAGACCCACAAGCGTTGTACTTAAAGTGTTGACTTGAATGGTTTGCTCCCTAGCAGCCTACGTGAGTATCCCGCGAATGAGAGACTGAGAGACATGGATTGAAGGGGAAGATACCAGCCCTCTGGACTTTGACTGTAGTCCACATTGAGTATCCCAGCATTTAAGACAGCAACGTCGATGCCCATACGACCATTCTGACTCTGTTTCAATCTACCAACGAAGGAAACACACGAAGAATACCTGCTCAAGTCCAATTCCATGATCTGCACTTTCCCCTGTCCAACAACCCCTGCGCTTTGTTCAATGCGTTCCCGAGCGACACCTCCTGCAGACAGGCTTCGTGAAGTGATGATCACTTTTGCTCCTAATTGCGCAAAATGCATACTAGCTGCGAGGCCAAGACCAGAAGTGGCCCCTGTGATAAGGACTGTCTGCCCCTCAAAGGATCCCGATGGAGGTAAAGCGTCAGTCCACAACTTGTCACGAAGGCGCCTGGGGAAAAGAAACATCATGAACTGAGGGTTAAAATCCAATTCTGAGATGGTTTCAGGAGAGTCAATTTTTTTCACATTGCTTCATGATCTGTTGCAGTCCCTTACATGTACGAAGTCACTTCTCGGACGTGGGCTTCGGGCCCCGGGGGTTGGGCCTTGTGGAATCTGACACAGTCGTCATCCAGTCAGACACAGGAGCATTTGGCTTGACCTGTCATCCCCACGTAAAAAAAGAAAGAAAAGAAAAGAAAAAGAGGGTCCCAGTTTACACATAGTCAGATTGCACAGAATAATCTATCCGCCGTATTCTTCGCTCTGTTGGAACTCATGCTTAGCCTAAGAAGCCCCCTGAATGCACGTACCAGTTACGCAGTTGTTCAGTGACAGGGAATCTCACATCTTGTCAGACGCCCAGAAGATGTTGAATATGATTTTGACAGCTTGTTTGTCAGTCATCATTTTAAAAATTCAATTTGAAGGCTCAAAAGCCGTATGACTATATTCTATTTGGTATCAAGCGTGGGAACAGACTACCTGGAAAACGTAATAATATCGCTAGCACCAGCGCCAAGCCTCACGAGGAAACTTGAAGGATAGTACGACGCGAAAGAAGCCTACAATTCCAGAATAACCATCCAAGTCACCGGTTAAGACCATGGGGATCTCTGGTGGAGACAAAACTCTTGTCTCCGAAGTCTTTCTGGTCAGGAGTCCAGATAGTTCAGGTGAAAATTCTATTATCCTACAGACTACAGAGAAAGTTTGGTCATGTATTAGTTGTGATAGAATACAATTTCTTTGGTAAAGGTATCAGCTGTGAGCCATTCGTTCTCTTTGATCTTAAAGGAAAACAACTGCATTGCAGAAATTGAGACAGAATAGAAATGAAAACAGTCGAGTCGTTCATCTTCCACTAGTAGAAATATCACAGTATATATCAAAGCCGAGATACACTAGGCAAGAATTATACAAGAATTATAATCTCAGCATCCTTTGTACAAAGAAGAAGTTTTTTTTTTTCATACAAAATTCCTCTTCCAAGCAAAGCAAGGGCAAAGAAGATACCTAATTTGCCCCAGCGTTGACTAATTCCCCAAATCTCGATCCAGCCAGCCCTTTGAGTACTTCAGGATTTCCAATTTCCACGATTTTTCCCGTATCCATAACTACCACCCGATCAAAATCCATAATCATCTCCAGCCGATGCGCCACCACAATCACGGTGAAGCCCTTAAATTCCGACCGGACAGTATCTTGCATCACCCGTTCAGTCTCCTGGTCTACACTTGAACTCGCCTCATCCAATAGTAAAATGCCTCCGCTGTTCTCATCGTTGGAAAGCTTGGCCCAAGTCGTCCGACGCAGCAGCGCCCGCGCCAGCGAAAAAAGCTGCCTTTGTCCGGCGCTAAATGTCCCTGCATTCATGGGTGCTTCTAGGCCGCCGAGTTCCTGAATAAATGACTTTAACCCCAAAACTTCTAAGGCTGCTGTGCATTCTTCAGAGGTGCAAGTGAGGGATGGGTCCAAGTTTCTGCTGAATGTGGAGCCGTCCGGGAGGAAAACAGGATCTTGAGGAACTGCAATGAGACGTTCTCGAAGTACAATGCGGTTGATGAGGTGGAGGGGGGTATCATCGATGAGAATTTTGGTCTCTTCATTGCTTGTGGCGGGGAGCGGATCCAGAAGTTTGAGAAGGAGAGCGATGAGGCTTGATTTGTGATGATGGGACTGGCTACAATGATAGAGATGCAGTTACCAATGATGGATTCTATTGGTTATGATGACTGACTAAGGGGAAAGGAGAGAGCAGGGGACGATGCTAGATAGCAATCATAGAGGTCCTGCGGCATACAGGGTCACGTGCCATATCACGTGACCACTGGATCCAACAATTTGCCACTGCCGGAACGACCGCAGATAGCAATCCTTTCGCCAGCTTGAATGGAGAGATTGATGTTATTGAGAGCAAAGTTATCTCCAGTGGTGCTGAGGGAAAAAAATCGATGGATATAGTTAGCTTGGCATAAATTCAGGGACTTGGCTGACTCTCACTTGTATTTCGCGGATACACCTTTCAACTCGACTGTGCCGTGTTGAGGCCACTCCTCACCCGGAATTATATCCTCATATTCTCGGTCCTCCGGTGTGACGGACTCATTAAAGCTCTTGAGTCGCGAAATTGCGCTGATGGAGGTTTCCAGCTTAGTATAGAAGATGACTGTGCCAGAGAGGGTATCCCCGAAGCTCATGAGGGAATATAAAGATGCACCAGCGAAGGCGGTACTAGAATGTAGGCGCACGGCAAGGGATGTCATGACTACCGCTATCACCATGACAATCATGTTAAGCACTAGATTTAGCCACTCTTGAATCATCGGGAGGAGATATGCGGGACGTTGGCTGGAATTAACCAGCTGAGCATTCTTTTGGAAATCATCAGGGAGAAAGCCTGTTTTGAGGTGAAAACTATTAGCTGAGAGTACATATAAGTTAACACACTGAATGCATAAATCTTTATCACTAACCAAAGGCCCTCAAGGTCACAATGCCCCTGACTATGTCAAGGAAATGTGCACTGCATAGAAAATAAAGGTCAGTTTGTGGCATACCGAGCAGTCCGAGCAGTCAACAGCTCGGAACCGGTACTATTGGCTTATAAGCTTACTACAGCGGACTTTTAGTCTCCAAGTCTAAAAGCCTTAGTTGTCGAGAGGTTCGCATGTAGAATCTTTGTACAAGAAACAAGAAACCACCAAGGAGCGGATAGCTGATGGCAAGATACGCCGACGAAGTAAGCATAACAGCCGCTTGTCCAATGGATTGGAAGACCTATACATTTTTGTCAGAATAGATTGTGAGCCAAATATCTCGATACATCACAAATTTACACAAAACTGAGTGTTTAACAAAGCATCTGGTAGCTCTGTGTCTATAAGATTCAGATCTTGTGAGAACAGGTTAGTAACGATACCAGTATCTGTGTTGGTGAAAAATGACAGCGGTGCCTGAATCAGGGTGGTGAGAATGCTCTGGTGCAGGTTAGCACCTGCTCTCTTCACTGAAACGATGAGAAGAGTGGTTCCCAGAAGGAACAGTGCTATCATCGCGCAGATTTGGAGCACCGCATAGACCCCGACGTAGTAGCCTTTGGAATGGTCAGGATGGGCAGAGGCAACGGAGTCACTCCAAAAGCTGAGCCCTTCGAATCAGTGACGTTAGTTTCACCGCAACGTGATGTTTATGACCGTTTAGACGGCCTACTTGTGAGATTCTGTTAGGATCGCATGGTTTTCATTGGGTAGTAGTAATTACTAGCTAGATACAGAATGTATTACATCAGCGCCAAGCAAGGGCTTGGCCCAGAGAAAACCCCTTGGTAATAGGCACTCGCTACCAATGACTTGGCCGAGTGCCAAGAAGTAGTGTCCTGAGGCATCCAGCAAGTGGCTGCCTCAGGCACCGAGAGTAAGCAAACCCTGCAAACCTCTCGGGAGCACATCCCTCCCCACCAGGTCTAGCTTACCGCCCCGGAAGCTGTAAAAGTGAGGTTATACAGGCTCCCCGAATAGGCAATATAGTAGACCCAGTAAGATGAGTGGCCAACAAGTACTTTGTTTGGGGGCATTGGAAGGCGAGAGAACTGCGAAGTGCATATTACTTCACTTTCTTTGTGCTCCAGCAAGCAGTTCTCTTTGTTCTTGCCTGCTCGGTTAATATGGCATATAAACCTGCCTAAGCATAAATACCCCCCTCTTTCCCCTTAGAAAAAACCTTCTCCTCTTCTTATTCCTTAGTCTCATCTCCCACTCCACTTTCTGTCGACATTGATCAACTTGTTGGTAAGTGATCTATCCCTATATCGACCTCACCAGTGTTACGCACTAGCTAACTGGTCACAGTTAGGTTAGATGGGTTCAGGGTATACTTGCCTTAATACTCCTCGAATGGTCCAACGTCAATGATCGGGTCTCAACTGAGCTAATGCCACGCAGGGCCTTATAGTAGCCTAAGTCCTTTTGAGCGATCAAGGAACTGATGCCAGGTAGAGCGCCGAGTAGATCTATACCGGGGTATTGGTCTGCTCGTGAGTGTTGTCAAGTTATAATCAAGTAAAGAGTCACAGTAATCCAAAAGGTAAACACAAGTAACAATGTATAATTGAAGACGAAGAACTAAACTAGATACATGAATGAGTGTCCTTATATATCTCTGAGTTCTTCCTGTGTAGAATGGTAGATGGTAGAATAGTAGAATCGCCTTGGCGGATTCTACCGATCTACTTGCTACCCTTCTACTACCTGCATGATCACGTGATGCTGACCAACCGTCTTCTGCGTGCAGCGGTTGTCTGGTACGTAGAGTAACCTATGTAACGGAAATCCTCTGCGGGGTGGATCCGCTCAGGGCGGATCATGCTCTTGCTCAGTGAGCTTGCACGTGATCTGCTGACAGATATCCTGGTTGGCTCTTGATGGCCCATTGGTGTGCCTGGTGGGTCACCACTGATTGGTGACGGACAGGTCCATAACATCACCTCCCCTCTTCCTAGGAGTTTCGTCCCCGAGACTCATAAAGCTGCGGTGTCCCCCCTCAGGTAGGTGATGGATTTCTTTTCCTCAAAATAATGCTTCCTCGTCATGCCTAAACGAAAGGCTGACTCTGTTTCTTTGCTCACTCCCAAACTTCCCTCCGATTCTTCTGACGCTCATCATCGTCAGGCGACTTATATTGAGGACAACAGTTTCACCACCTCCATCTCTTGCGATCATTGTAAATCGGCAGGTGTTGCTTGTCTGATGGACCGTTCTCGTCAATATTCGAAATGTGCCTCGTGCACTCGCGCGGGTCGCTCATGTAAGCGTGACTTTCACACTGGTCGGGAATGGGATTTGTTGCGTCGTGCCGAAACCAAACTTTCTTCGGATCTTGAAACGAATGAAAGTGAACTCGATTTGTTGGAACCCGAGTTAAGCGAACTGCAAGCTCATCTCGCAGAGCTGCATCAAAAATTGTTGAATAAACAAAAACAATACCAGGAAGCAATGTCTAGGCAACGTCGGTTGCGTAAACAAATGTCCTTCCTAAAACAAAAGGGTTTCAAAATGTCGGAACATGATGCTGAACTCCTTCAAATTCTCGATGAAAAGCAAACATCCCCAGAGCAGGCTTTCCCTTCTGCTCTCGACCTCGAGCAGCTTGCTGCTACTGCCGATCATCCGAACTTTGATCAGATGTTGGCGGAGATTGCTGATCTCCCTGTTTCTTTCTGGGATGAATCCGGTTTCGTGCCCTCCTCGCTTTCCGTTGCGCAGGGGTCCTTTTCGCCTGTTGGTAATACTGTTGAACGAGCTGGTGGCAGCCCCTCAGGTTCTGGATAGGTTCCCATGTGTTTTCTGAGGTAGGATACCCTTTCCACTGAACTAAGAGTTGTTGCTGACTGTTGTACCATCTGTCCGACAGGATTCGTTCGACTTCATATTCGTCTTCGGTTTCCTCGATTTCCACATTGGTTGCAATTTCGGCGTTGTCTGGTGCTGGTTCGAGTAACGAGATATGAAACACTGCATGGAGTTTTTGCATGCTTTCGGGTAGCTTCAAGCGATAATTTACTGGTCCCAATTTTTCCTCAATCTTGAACGGTCCTAGTCGTAGGTGGTCCAATTTGTTGCTGGGTCGCTTGGTTTTGATGTTGCGTCGCAATAGGTAAACCTTTTCTCCCTCCTCAAGGTCAGGTCCCTCTCCATGGTGGTTGTCGTAATATTTCTTCATGCGCAGATTGACAAAGTCAATGTCTCTGGCTAGTTGCGTGTGCAATTTTCTCAGTCCGCTGGCCTTCAGTCTCGCTGATTCTGCCACGGCTGTCTTGTTGATTGGTTCTCCAAACACCATTGGATTATATCCATAATTCGCAAAGAATGGTGTTTCGTTGGTCGTAGAGTGTGCTGCATTGTTGTATGCCAGCTGTGCTGTTGGTAGCAGTCCTGCCCAGTTGTCTTGCTGGTAGTTCACGTAGTGTCGCAGGTACTGTTTCACTGTCTGATTCACTCTTTCTGTCTGACCGTTGGTTTGCGGGTGGTATGCGGTAGAGAGTCTAAGCTCAATACCCATCTGGTCCGCAAAAGACTTCCACATGTTCGATGTGAACAACTTGTCTCTGTCTGATGTGATCTTGCTCGGCATTCCGTGGTTCGCAACCACATGTCGAAGCACAATGTTCGCCATTTGATCAGCATCAATGGTTTCTGTAGTCGGAATCATGTAGGCGTACTTGGTGAGCCTATCGACTATAACCATAATCATGTCGTGTCCATCTGAAACTGGTAACTTCGTGATGAAGTCCATCGTGATCCATTCCCATGGCTGGGTTGGTGTTTCAGATAACTGTAATTCTCCGTAAGGTGCGTGTCGTGCAGGTTTGTTTCGTTGGCACGTGTCGCAAACGCGGATGTAGAATCGAACCTTTCGCCACATGTTCGGAAAATAATAATTTCGCGTGATGTGTTCGATGGTTTTTTCCACTCCCATATGTCCATGTGAGATGTCATCGTGGTGTCGACGTATGACCTCTTCTCTCAGCTTGTTTGGAACATATATCAATCCATGCATATGGAGCAATCCTTGGTCGTCCTTGGTGAGTTTTCCACCCTTCTCAACGAGTTGATTGATCGTATCTTCCTCCAATGCGTCTTTGATTTTCTGCAAGAAGTCGTCATCCTTGACTTCTATCGTTGCGGCCAGTAACTGTTTGTTGTACGAAATAGTACCATCAGAGTTTTGTCTCAATACAGCAGGATCCGCTGCCTTGGTTCCTAATTCGTAATCTGGTCGTCTGCTTAAAGCGTCGGCTTGTCCGTTTTCTGTTCCTTTGCAGTGTTCGATTTTAAAATCGTATTGTGCAAGGGTTTCGGCCCATCGCGCTTGTCGTCTCGTCAACTTCTTCGTCGTGGTGAAGAATGTGAGATTCTTGTGATCGGTCTTGACCGTCACCGTATACTTTGCTCCTTCTAGATATGCTCTCCAGACTTGGAATGCTGACACTATAGCCAATAATTCCTTGTCGTGCACATCGTAGTTGAGTTCTGCTGGAACCATTTTCCTTGACCAAAATGCAACTGGTCGGTGCTTGCCGTCAGTTCCCGGTTGCGTCAGTCTTGCTCCCAGAGCATAGTCTGATGCATCGGTTTCCATGATGATTGGTCGGTCGTAGCTAAACGTAGCCACGATTGTTCCTTTGTTGAAGAGTTTCTTGAGGTCCTGGAACGATTTGTCTGCTGCCTCATCCCATATGAATTTCTGATCTTTCTTGGTGAGATGGTAGAGTCCTGATGCGACTCCGGCGTATCCATCGATGATCTTCCGATAATAATTGGCTAGACCAAGAAATTGTTGTACTTCCTTCACATTTTTGGGTGTCGGCCATTCCATAATGCTTTTGACCTTGTCTTCTTCCATCCCTAGTCCTTCAGGGGTAATGCGGTATCCGAGGAAAGTCGTTTCCTGAACGTGGAATTCGCATTTCTTCAGTTTGAGAGTGACTTCTGCTTCTCTCAGCTTCTGCAACACAAGTCTGTTGTGTTTGATGTGATCTTCGAGTGTCTCTGAGAAGACCAAGATGTCGTCCAGATATGCGACAACGAAGATGTCCAAATATTCCTCAATCGCTTTGAAGATGAAGCGTTGGAATGTTGCTGGTGCGTTGGTGAGGCCGAAAGGCATAACCTTATATTCGTAATGTCCGAACTTGGTTCTGAATGCCGTTTTCCATTCATGGCCTGGCTTGATCCTGATGCGATGGTAGGCATTGGTAATGTCATACTTCGAAAAGTACTTGGCATGTCCAATCCTGTCTTGCATTTCGTTGATCAAAGGTAGTGGGTGTCGATCTTTGATGGTAATCGAATTTAAATGTCGGTAATCCACACAAAGTCGAAGACTCCCGTCCTTCTTTGGTACGAAGATGATAGGATATCCAGCCGCTGACTTCGAGACTCGGATGTATCCTTTTCGTAGGTTCTCCTGGATGTATTCCTTGAGTGTGTCGGACTCCTTCTGTGACAACTGATAGATAGGCATGAAAGTTGGTTCAGTGCCTTCCATAGTGTTG